TTGAAAAAGGCATTTCTTAATAAAAAGGAATACATACTTAATGCTAGAAATAATTTTTTAAGTACAGTAATGCTTTAAGAAAAAATTTAAATAAAAAACACTATCACAGAAAACAAAGCCATGAAAATACCCTTCACCATCTTCCCTCAAGCATATTGAAGTACTTATCAAGTACTTTATTATACAAGAAGTCTTTCTGAAAGCTGTTCTGAAAAGCTCTGTTGGACACCAATCTCAATTAATTCAAATGCAAATAAACTGTGAACTTCAACCCACTTCAAGCAATCAGTGACAGTGTTGCCAACTGCTCCACACATTTAACTGTTTCTCTTCCCTTTTTTAACTCTCCTTCCTTTAAAACACTTTCCTCTTCCATAACGTAATTAATTTCACCTAATACAAAGAATAAAGGTAATCCATTGAATTGAATAGCCATGCTTCTATCATGGTATATTTCTGGACCAGTAAAGCAAAATATCTGTGAAAATTGCTGGCTAACAAGTAAAATGGAAAACAATAGAATAACAAATATAAAATATAATTCCCACTTGCATATCTGTTTATGTGGGAATGGGCCACAACAGTGTTGGCTAGTTTAAAACAATGTACTCAGCCTTGTAAACCATTCAGATTAATAACAAAAGGGTAATGGAAGCCATGGAAGACACTGGCAATGAGTTTTTTTCAGCTTCTCTGCGACCCTGACAGTGAAGAATTTTCCCAGTCTCTATTCACACCCCATATTGTTCAGGCAAAGCCAGGCCAGAATTAATTGTAACCTGTCTGTTACATTATTCTGTGCATTATTATAGCTAATGTGTTGGGGGGGGGGGGTTGCTGTTGTGCACATTTGTGAAAAAAGAAAAGAAAGAAAAGAAAATACAGTAAATAAATAAACAAACCCCAGTAAGTGACTTCCAGCAGGAGGAACCTGGGAGGACATCATTTAGCAAAAAGTTTGATACAGAGTGTGAAAAAAATGAGTCATAGAAAAATGAAGAGTAAAGTTTGGTTTATGAAGAAATACACAGAGATAATGTTAGAGGTCTTACTTCTTCCTTTGGGTTGGAAGCAAATAACGCAATTCCTCAGGACCAAGAAAATGGTAGGAACCTTTGACCTTAATGATCTTTAGGTATCACCGGGGGATCCAGTTCTTATACAGTATTGTTCTCTGAGATGGTGAGTATCCACAACTCCCTAATATAAAACGTTCAGCATGGTTGTTCCTGTCACCTGAAAACTGAGTCTTTAGCACATAGAAGCATGTGTTTAATAAATTTGCAACTTGCCCTTTCTCTAAAACACATAGAGAGATTGTTATCTTTTCTGCTTATCAAAAGTAAAACAAACCATATTGTATTAATATGTATAATATGATACAAACAAATTCACTGACTTTTAGTTCACTGTCAGACATCACCAATGTCTGAACTACAAAAAGTGCTCTTCAGGCTGAAACTCAGATGAATCCACTAAGCCCTTCACTTTTCTTTAGAAAGACATAACATCCTGAAACAAGATATAATAATTACATACATAAAATATTTGCTTAATTTAAAATGCAATAAAAAGAATGCAGGAAAAGAAAGAGTTAAGGCAAGTACTTGATTCATAACTTTCCCTTGCCTGGTAATTATATATATGGGATGTTCAACATAATGAAATAATCTGAGGTCTCTGCAATATCTGGAAAGAATATTTTTTTTTAGTCCAAAACCTATTTTGTTGTCAGGTCTGCGAGCATTCTTTTTCAAACCAGCTTTGAAAGCTCTGAATTCAGAACACTCAGATTCAGAAGTGATATAAGCAGATACAGTTGTGCATGGTTAGGCTCCGTATCTGAATTTGTTTCTTTAAGTAAAGAGGCTTTCCTGGAAACGGTGACAGTGATTTCTGTAATAGCATTACTTTTCTTTTAGTATTCTAGATGTTCTAGAAGGTAGAGGAAGAGTGAGTGTATTATAGGTGTGTGTGTACAGTATTATGTATATACATATATATACGTGTGTAGTCTGTATAAAAATGTGTGCTTTATGTTTTATTATACTGTGTTTTTTAAACCTCAGTTAGTTAAAGAAACACTGCAAAAGGGTAGACAAGCACAGAGAACTGTGCAGAAAAACAGTTCATAATTATATCAAACCAGAGCATTTTTTCCCAGACAGAATTATGGACAACTCTCACTTTCAATCCAATCAATAACTTTTACAAGTCATCGTTTAACTCTGCAAAATAACTACATGGGCAGAAGCAAATTTATGTTAAGAACTACTGAAAGACTATCTTAGACACTAAGGTAATCATTGTACATACATTAACAAGTATGTGAAGACATTTCATAGATTTCATAGATCTATGAAATGGATCTAGTTCATCAGCATGGAAGAGGCCCAAAATGGAGCCTGTACTAAACAGGATATTTTGCCTGAGTAATAACTTAATGGTAACAGTGGTGTGTGAATGTTGGGTACCTTTTGCATTACTTCCATATTTAAACATACCACTGAATTTACCTTGAATAATGTTGGCACCTGTAAAATACTCTTATTAAAGTCTTTAGAACTTTATATTAATATGCCACATCCTTCAGTTTTGTTGAAAAAAGAAAGAGAGAAATAGAGCACCAAAACAAAATGCAGAACTGTTCCTGAAGACAGAAACTTTCTAATCATACCACCTGAAGAAAAGAAATACTCGTGGGCTACAATGTCTGAATTACTCTTAAGCTAGAGGTTAAAAAAGAATGTCAATTTTTGTGTGAAGGGAGAAATTCCATTTAACTCATTGGAAAAGTTCTACAGAATTGGCAAAATCTCTGTTTTATATCAGTGCTTGATATTTCTAGAAGACAGCAATAATGTATACCAACGATGTATATAAACATTTACAGTGGTCAAGATAAAACAGTATATATACTTAAAAGTACATGATGTATAACGTAATAGTTGCCATGCCATGAAGTTTAGGAATAATCTCAGTGGGCTCAATCCTTCAAACTATCTTCATGCATGCAGTCTCACTGAGATTAACCAGACTGTGTGGGAGGAAGACCTATTCAAAAAAGTAAGGATTTACAGGCTCAGGCCCTTCATGCATGCATACATATCAGCATTACAAAATCTTGTCATGTTTTCTTCATACATATCTTTAGTTTAACTGAATGGTCCATATTTAAAAAATAAAGGTTTGTAATAGCATTTCTGTCTCTGAAAGCAAGTTTGCAGAAATATCACCTCCCCCCCCCAAAAAAAAATCAAGTGGAAGTTTTAATGTATGAACATTTTGAAAATATTACTAAACAAGTAAATATTCACACAAGCAACATGTTGGCTAATGAAAGATAACAGTATATGTGAATTCTACACACAAACTTTTTCCTCCTTGGTGTGGGAAGTGGGGAGGGAGGGTCACTCCTAATTATTATGAGTGGGGGGAAATATAAATAAGAAGTATAGATGGACTGCTGAAATACAATGTTCAATTCTAATTACATGTAATTAAATGACTAAACATGTACAGCAATATATTTTTCCCGCATTTAGCAGCTTTTAACTTTATAATCATTATTTCTGCATTGCTGACAACTATCCTTATTTATCTTCTTGTAGATACATATTCAGGAATAAGATCACACTTGAATTAAACAGTATAATGCAGGGAGAAAGGAAGTCATTGCTGTAATAATGTAGAATGTAATCTTCTTGACCTGCTTCATTTCAGTAGCATAAAAGTTATGAACTGCTTATGAACTAAGGGTACTTTCACTCGTACATTAGACATGTGTTATGTAACAATTGTGTTTTAGGTCTTGAATCTAAGGAAAAGAATCACCTTTCTTAGAGTAATAAAGTAATAAGTAAGGTCACAAAATACAGTGTGGGAGCCCTAATTGCCTGCCTAATCCATTCAATCATCTCTCTGGCTCTGGCTGCAAGCAGCTAGTCTATTCATTGTGGAATCAGCCTTCCTTTCCTACACAAAAAGGTCCCTACTTCTCTCCCAGCACATGCAGAGCTCTGCCAAGTCACAGGAGAGACACATCTTCAGTAGCGGCCCCCTAAGTGGAGCAGAGCACTCCGCTAAGCACACAAAAGGTTAAATACTGCTGAAATAGCGAGACATTTCATCTGCCCACGCTTCCCAGTTCCATTCAATTACCAACAGCAGCGGTCCTATAATACAACATAATACTGTATTATTAAATCAGAGTTCCACATTTACATGTACTTCTAGCCTGAAGGAAGGCCTGACATTCAGCAGCCAGTACTAGAACAAACAACCCACAACTTTCTCCCTCCCTCTTTCCACACACACACCCTTGGAGAGGGCAAAAGATGACACCCCTCAAAGAGACTGAGTTTACCTTATCATCATCAAGGTCTACCCCAAGGCATCATTCTTGATCTCCCCCCCACCAAACAAAACACACCTCCCACATGCTGAGCACACTGCTGTGTTGCAACACCCACCTCCCTTGAGCAAATCCTTTCTAATTCCTACTTTACCCACGACTTCCCAGCCTGACCTGACATACCCGTCCACCCCCCTGCACTCCTAGCAAAACAAAGGGCGGCTTCCCTATGCCCCCCACCCCCCAAAACAGCACTGGTTTCTTGCATGCAGACTCTTAACGTAAATAACTGCATGCATCCATGAGTATCAAAAACAAACAAATAACTGCATGAATACATATGTAATACATAACTGACTACATCCATGAAGAAAAAAGGAAGACTTTAAAAAAAAACTGTGCCCCCCTAACCCCTGCATCCAATCCAAGCAGCACAACTGTGGCAACTTTGCAACCAAAAGCAGCCCCCTCCCAACTTCTTCTGCATCCTCCCCTGGCCGCCGGAGCCCACTGTGAGCCTAAGAGCGGCTCGGCTCTTCCCCAAGTGTTTCTCTCTCTCTTTTATTTTTTGTTGGCACTGCCCTGAGGGCTGACAACTTCTCGCCTGGTCTCCCTCCAGGAAGGCAAAGGACAGCGTCTCCCTTACCTGATCCGAGGCTCCCCCAGACACGAAAAACCCCTAACGTAAGTCCCCGAGGAGCGACCCGCGCCGGCCGTGGCTCAAGGCAGGTGCAGGGAGCGCTAGTTGTGTGCCGGCAAAGACGATCCGCAGCCGCGCCGGGGAGCGCCGAGGCAGCCGAGCAGTTTGGGGGCAACTCCGGAGCTTTCCCCCGCCCCCCACACTGCCCTCCACAAGTCCCACGTGCGGGGCCGGCGCCTCCCGGGTTCAGCACCAGCGGCGGCGTGGACAGCACCAGCTCCGCTCCCCTCCACCGGTCCCCGGCACTGAGCCGCGCGACTCTCCCGCCTCCTCCCTCCCCGGCGCTGCCACTCAGCCCCGCCGGGTCCCGCCTCCCCGGCCCCGGCCCTCACGTCAGCCCCGGCTCGTCCTCCTCTGCACAGGAGCCGGGGAGGGCCCGCCGGAGCCCGCCCTCTGCTCGGGGACAACCGAGTCCCGAAGCCCCCCTCCTGCCCTTCAGGGGGCTGGGAAGCAAGTGCAGCCTCCCTCATGGGGATGCGGGAGTGCCGGGGATGTACGAGGGAGCCCTGTTGCTCTGAGACAAAAAGGAATGCAACATTCCCTATTAAAGACTTTTTTGGGGGGGGCAAAAATCTGGTTGGTCTCATCAAAGGTGTCACCTCTACCACAGGTTCAGGTTCTTTTTCGCCTCTAGACCAGGGGTAGGCAACCCTGAGTGTGGCGCTCAAAGACTTTTGCTTGGCACGGGTGCCCCTTGGCGGGGAAGGAGCCGGGGCTACATGGCCACAGCAGGCACCGGGCCCTGCGTGGTTCCCCTGCCAACATCTTGCAAGTTGAAGTTGTGGGTGTCTTTGGCACTCTGCCCAAAACACTGCCAACCCCTGCTCCAGACCAATACGGCGACAATCTGGATACCATGCAAAACTCTACAACTCTTGGTTGGGAGAGGATGCCTCCGATTAGAACAGGGGCTGGCCATCCCTGGTGTGGGTGCCAGAGTGTGGCATGTGAAGACATTTTGCTTGGCATGCATGCCTCTGGGAGGACGGCAGGGAAGGGAAGGAGGGCTGCACTGTGGCAACAAGGATCAGGCCCCCTGCAGCTTCGCCACTGTCCACCCTTGGCATGCCAACATCTTACAAGCCAAATTTGTGGGCATTTTCAGCACACTGTCCAAACACATTGCTGACCCCTGGATTAGATCAAATAAAAAATCACTATATCTATATACAGATCTATATCTTGCTATCTATAGATAGATATTTTGCAGAAAAATATTTATTTTTGGTGATTTCTTAGTTGATCTAATAAAAAGTATCATCTTGGAACCAGGAGTTCTAGAGTTTTGTGTTTCTTTCAGGTATGCATTAGGTAGCTGTGTTGGTCTGAGACAAAAAAGAAACACAAAACTCTCAATTAAAAGGTTTTTTTGTTGTTTTTGTTGCAAAAAAATCGACTAATAAAAGGCAATCACCTCTACCATGAGTTCTGATTCCTTGTTGCCTCTAGACCAATACAGCTACAACCTGGATACCATGCAAAACTCTAGAACTCTTAGTTTGGAGATTATACCTTTGATTAGACCAACTAAGAAATCACTAAAAATTATTATTAAAATTATTATTTTTGCAGAAAAATATATATGTTTTGTGATTTCTTAGTTGGTCTAATCAAAGCAATCATCTCTAAATCAAGAGTTCTAGAGTTTTGCGTTTCTTTCAGGGATGCTGACTGGGATCCTGGCACTGGGTTGGGGCTGGCTATTACAAAAGGGACCTGAAACAAAAAAAGGTTGAGAACCACTGGCCTAGACAATGAGGACTAGAAGGGACCTCAGGAGGTCATCTAGTCCAACCCCCCTGCTCAAAGCAGGACCAGGCCCAGCTAGATGGTCCCAGGCAAAGCTTTGTCTTTAAAACCTAAAAATATCACTCAGATCCAAAACAGCAAGAAAAGAAGTGGTGCTAGTCCCACCACTGGAGCCTTTCCACAACCTCCCACAGCAGCATAGGAGCCAAAAAAACATTAGGGGAAGGAGTAGGAAGAAGTACAATTACTCCCCTCCCCCTGACCCCCAAGGTTCTTTAGGTAAATGTGATTTCCTTTATTAAACCAACTAACTAGTTGAAAAAATTGTTCTTTGCAAGCTTTCAGGCACAAACACCCTTCTTCAGGCATAGGGAGAGTCTGCTGTTGTTCTGTGTTCTCCTGGATGGAATAGAATCCGTTACCCCCCACTCCCCTCCAAATGGCACTTGGGCTGAGAATGGTTGTGCTTGCATTGGGAAAAGCAAGGGAAAGTTATGTTGCATCTACTACATCTATCTGATGAGTTGGCCAACTGAAAGCTCAGGGATGTGGAGGCAGTACTCAGCCTCTGCAAAGGGATCCCCAGTCATCTATATCAAGTTTTCATGGCCCAGTTCTGAGGGCAGGCTCTTCACAGCACACTTAAATGTTACAGACTTGAACATAATGGAGAAATGCATGCACATACATACACCTGAGTAGGAAGGGGGTCATCATTATGATACCTAGCACTTGGAAAAGAATGTTGACTGTCCTTGAAAGAACAGAAATTGAGAGTAGGGGCATGCCTAAAAAATAGCAGGATTTTCATTCCCCTATCTATGGATTCAAGCAAAAACATGAATACAAGTGGCAGAAGTTTATTTGGAATAGGTTTTAATTAGAGATATAATTTTAATTAAATGTATACATATACACACACATATATATACATACACACACACACACATATATAATTTTAATAAAATATTATTATTTCTTAATTTATTGTGGCAGAACAGGTAACAGACAGTAGAGACCTAATGACGGTGAAAACACAAGTTATATTTTGCCTTTGGGCCTACTGTGTGTTCCAATTTAAAGTATTATAACTGTCTTTACATCATCCATGGCTAAGGTAAGCCAGACTCAGCTGTATCTATGGTTCTGGGCTAAGTGTAGTAAAGAATTAAAGCTATGATACTCCAAAAGTAACTTTGTTCATGGTGTTAGTCCTATTGGTTTTATACTTAGTTCATCCAAAGGGGCAAATCCATAACCTTTAATAGAGCTACTTTTAGTACAAAGATGTCACCAAACAAAGCTTTACTGACTTCCAGAGGATTCCAGGTTCCTATGGAGAAACTCCAGAAGGCCAAAAAGCTTTTTCTTCCCCATCTATCCATGGATACACCATAAAGGCATGTCTGGCAAATAGCTGATCATTGAAACACTTCAGAGCTGTTTATTCCAGCATAAAGCAGAATGGCACTGAAGTGGTCAGCCAACTCTGCCTCCTTTCAAAGCAACTGTGCCGGGTGCTTCACTGCTCGAAATCAAAATCTAGTGCAAAAACATAGTTTTGTTCCAAAGGCATCAGACATTGCACTTGTGTATGAACTCATATACACAACAGCAAAATAAGTACCCAGCAGAGTGCATCTGAAAGTCACATTGTATTGATAACCATAATAGGGAAGCATAAAATCTACTAAGTAATAATAGAATTGACAGCAGCAGTGATGCAGCATTTTTGTTTGTTTGTTTAAATCCAGACCACTAACAGAAGCAGCAGTGAATCTCTGAGGCCATCACAGAAGTGTTCACAGTGCAGCCATGTCAGATTCCAAAGAAACTGCAAATTTTGCTAAGTACCTTGTCATAAGGACATGAGAAAGGAAGGAAGTCTTCTATAAATCTCATGTCTACTAAAACATAGTTCGGAACATGCATGCAAGAACACATGAGTTACTAAAGCTCAATTCTGCATTTTACTTGAATTGTATTCGATCATGTACCTCTGCTTTTGGGATACCTACTACAACATCTGCTCACACAAGTTCCTATTTAATTATGAATATTTTGATATAGTTATAATAGCTATAACTCTGTTCTGGTTCTCCTCCCTACCACTACCCTCTTGCATCATGTATCAAGACTTGTTTTCAAAATAAGCATATTTTTAATTAGCAACTTGAGATTCTGGTTTCCTGTTGAACAAACATGTTTCCTTCATAGAGTTCTCCATTTTGTGCATTCTGGAAAAGTAGGGCTTAGGAGGAAGTGTTTATGTGGTAAATTAATTAATACTTTCTTAATTATTTTAGGAAGCAATAGACCGTATCCTCACTGCTTTTCATTTGAATGCTTAAGTCCACTAAGTCATGGTTTTATTACTGTACAAACATTCAGTTGATTACTTGTACCTTGCTGTTACAGACATGCAAACTTTATGGAGAACGTACAACTGTATTTAGCAATTAGGTCTTAGAGAGGAGAAATTGCTGGTAGTTAATTGCATATTTCTTTTTTTTCCAGGACTGTTTAATTTGGATATTATTCCATAGCATCTTGCCAGATGCAAAGTAATACACTATGTGCTACAATATCCATTATTATTTATTAGATTTAATAGTCCAAGTGCACAATTGTTAACTGTCTGGTTGGCTGGTTTTCATTTTCCAACCTTAAATTGTTATATTCAAAACATTTGGCATTTTTATTTTTTATTGTATTGCCATAGAAAGCTTGCTTCAGCTAGAAGAGGTTGTGATAAATTGCAGTGAATGTCAAGTTGTTAGGGTTTTTTTACTGCTTTGTTATGACTACCTTAAAAAAAAGTGAGAGTATTTACCTTGTTCTTTTTAACATTTTGTTTATGATGGTGATTCTTAAACTGTTTTGAGTACTGCAATATACCACATTACAAGATAGACAAGAGATCAAAGATTCAGTACATAGAAAGAAGACAATACAAGATAATATGATCAAAGTGTTCAAATACCCAGAGAGCATCTGTCTAACACATTTCCCTTATTTATCACATACAAGCCTATGTCATACTCATACTGTGGTGAACAACTGATACATTTTTAGCCTGACTGATTTAGGTCCACTTTTCTTCTGCAAGTGTTTAAGGGCCTTCTCCTGAATCTTTTGCATCAGCATCAATGGAATAGTTGAGTGAAAAACGAATGCATAATTAGAATATGAAAGATTAAGTATACTCTATAGACAGCTATTTTCTTTCTCCTCCTTCCCAAAGTCTCTTTTACATTGTTAGTGTTTTCATGTCCACTTTACTCAGTTCTCTGTATATATATTTCAGCATTCAGGTTACTGCAATATCTTAGCACACTGCCACAGATAAAATTTTTAGAGGGACAGATTCTGTCACCCAGAAGCACATAGGATTTATTTTACTTTAAAAGCATGTCCAGTGACTTCCAGAAACCTCCATGACTCCGTTCAGATCAGAGTTATACATCACATTACTTTTCTTGGGCAAAAGTGAGGGCCTTATCCACAGCTCATTAAAGTCAATTTCAGCATTTGGATGAGTCCTTAAATGACTAAAATACTGACTTACAATGAATAATGTTCTAGCCAAGTTATGTGCTGCTTTCTTTGTAGTATACGAATCTGAAAAAAAAATTGAATTCATACTTTCTTGACAAATTACAAACATTCCTTAAATCTAGTCAGTGCAATCTGAACACCCCCATATATCTGCCCACACATTACCTGCAGACTGATCTCCAATCAGTTTAAACAACCTGATAGATTTTGGCTCTAAATAAATATTCTTTCAGAATATATGGCCCCAACCATCACCTTAAAAGGTTATTTTTTCCTCTCTTTTCACTGTCATTTCTCAAAGATAGCTTATTCCTTTCTTCACTGGAAGAAAAGCAGCTGCCCCTCTGAAGCAGCTCATGCTAGTGCGGTACATTATTTAGCTCAAAGCAAACAAGAATAGGAGAATTTTCAGTCAGCTAACATGAACAAGAATGCATTACCATCCAAAATAGAGCTATATCACAGCATGAAGTTCAGAAGCCTGAATTTGCTTCATATCTTCCTGTGGACATATTTGCTTGCTGTATGGTCTAATGATTTAAAGAATTTGAATTTATAAAAGCTTGTTGCCTAAATAATAAACCATAGATATATTTGCAGAGTAAGTACAATTCAATGAGATTTTGCATTTACTTTGATCTGGCTATTTTACCTGACAGCAGAATGGCAAGCAAGGTCATAGAAGAGATTGTAGCCTGGAGAGAGGTTATATCAGTCATCTGGCATGGGAGAATCCCCATATGACATAATGAATTATAGTAGTCCAGGACCCTAATGTCTTGGCCTATATCAAAGCCAATTCCCAACAAGCCTCAAAAACATAAAGAGGGAGAAAAAGAGAGGAGAGGTGAAAACTCGACACGAAAAATACATTTATGGAAGAGTGTAAAACCAGCATAAGTAACAGGTTTTGTAATGATGCTAGAAAAATGCATATTTATATAGCCAAATAGTCAGTGTAAACAAACCTTGAAATGACATTAGACTTGTAAGTCTACCTGTTATTTCTAGTCAAATAGTGTTTGTTTTGTCAGTGTGTAGTACCTTTAAAATAATAGTGATTCAAAGAAGATAGCATTACATATCCCTTTGTCAGTATTTGTGTTAATAAAGCAACAACCGATTAAAAATAGTAATAAACTACACTTAAAATTCATTGAAAATTACTATTAACATTTAATCTTAAAAAGTGATATTAAGCATTTGATTTCTAAACACACAGCTTTTTGCACTAATCCTGGGCCTCAACTTTATTATTCAATATATCTTTGAAACCTGAAAACAATGCCACTCAATATGTGGGGGAGGAAAAATGTTTATAGGTATAAAAAACAGAACTGAGACTATTCAATTACAGTACTGAGTGGTTAGGTTTAGAAGAGATCTCTTAGGGCATCTATTGGAGAATCTTAGTATTGCACATGAAAAAAAAGTTTGCTTTCTTCCACACAGGACCCTTAGAATAAGTTATTTGCAAAATAATAAAATGCATATTACTGAGGACTGCCTGGATGGAAGGTTGTTACATTTGTTGATTGAGCTATTTAAGAAAAGCAATTTTAAAAATGAGAAATATACAAAGTACTAGGATGCTGCAAACTGAAACATTCACTATTTTGTTGCCATCAATTTACTAATTAACCTAATCATGCTTATTTAAGCAAGATCAGATCAATGAATAGAACTAATTTTCAGATTTTACATATTTATAAACAAATAGTGTTTATATGACAACACCTGAAGTCACAGTAAAAAGATTACATTCACTTAAGGATTGCCTTTGCTATCTAAACAAGAAGTAACCCATTAAAGATATGGTTATGTAGATATGTAGATACTGACAAACTGCCTGGTGCATGAGGGTACTTCAGTGTGGAAGCTGTCTGCCAGCTAATCCCACACTGAAGCAACCTCATGACCCAGCCAGCCCCTTCTCACTACAGTGAGCTGGGGTGGAACAGCCCCAGGTTGGTAGGCTGCCCACCTCAGCTCCCTGCTAGCTAGGGCTGCTGCAACCGAGCTCATTGTGCTGTGGTCCTGGGTGCACATGCAAACAGCATGCCAGGAACAATAAACTCTGTCACAAGAAGCACCAGAGTTTATCGCTCTGCATTAATTGCGCGTGTAGATGCACCCAGAAGGTACTTTTTTCTTTGAGAAGAGAAAAAGGGATCAGAAAGGAAAGCTTTCAGACGGGAAAAATATAAAGATAAACTTTATTCAAATAAATTGAGACTACATATATATATTATAGTCTGTATATATGCTATAAAAAGCCAGACACTTCCTGTATTCCATCTTGCTTCCCTGCCCCATCAGACAGTGGACAATAGGTTGCATCTATTAAGCCCTTATTTGATAGGATAACAGGGTGCACTGCATGTGCAGGTTTTAAACATAGCAGTTAAAAATACTCTCGCACATAAGATGCAGGCATACCAAAAATGCAAATTATAAAACACATATGTAATCCTTCTGCAGAGCACCTGTTCTGTTCTGGGGTGCTAAATATATTTTACCTTGGCTCGAGCCCCCACCCAGACTACCTGGGAAACACTAAATGAGCCACTGAGGTGTCCAATAAGGCCAACAACCCTTTCCTCACAAGCAGTGTAAACACAAAACCCTAATTTATTACAAAGAGTAATAATAAAAAAGAAAACACTAACTATAATTTTAAAACACTATAAACTACAAAATAAGGTCTATAGGTGGCCCCTTGTTGGGAAGGTTTCACCCATACCCAGGCAGTTTGGGACTTGGGGGTTCCCCAGCAGGTAGTTCCAGGGGCCTGCACACCTATACCTGCCCTTCAGCGATGGGCTGGAGAGGGGGGCCCGCACCACTGTGAACCTATGAGCAGTCAACCTATGAGTACTTCTATGTTGCAGGGGGCCCCTTGTTGTTCCCAGTGAAGCTGTAGCACTGATCTCTATTTCTATGTGGTGGCTTTGAGGGGTTAACTGTAGCTCTCATTATCATATTGCACCCTAAAGGGGCAGGAAACTGCAAGATAAACCAAAGAAAAGTCAGCCAAACAGCAAAAGAGCCTGAACTGCACCCAGCGCCAGCCACACTGCTTGGTCAAGGCAAAGGGTTGCTTTTGTTGCAAGACAAAAGCAACAACATGTGCGAGGCAGAAGACATACAGCAGGGCTCAGCAACACAGCTATACTGAGACACAACAGCTGTAAAACAATAAACAGGAGACTCAGGCCTGTCCTGCACCAGGGCCTGTACATACAACAAAAAAGCACCAGGCCTATTTGGCTGCAGCCTGGACATTTAGTCTTACCTACACTGTTATGCTGAGACCTAACAGGTATTAAACAACAAAAAGGAACCAGGCCTATTTTGACTTGGGCCTGAACTACAACTAGTGTCCAACCATACTGCTGGGTTGGGGCATAAACTGCAATAGGGACAAAAGGAAGCGCAGGTCTATCTCTGTGGGCCTGAGCTGAGCAGCAATAGCTGGCCAGGCCTATACTTCACTGAGGCCTGGATAAACAACAAGTAGGACCAGGTCTCACCCTGGCTCAAACCCCTCCAGGCTTAACCCTGGCCCAAATTTGAAGCCAAACATATGACTGGGTTTCAGACACACACAGGTGGGCTGAAATGCAATAGCTGTGAAATAGCAAAAAAGGGCCCAATCAATTGAAAGGTGGTCCGTGCTTCTGCATTTGCTCCACAGTCAATAAACTGGTTTTACAGGTTCTTAAAGGAAACTTAAGACAATGGGCTGGATACAATGAGGAGGAGGAAAGGTGCTTCTCTTTCAGTCCCAGAACCACCCCCACCCCCACCCCCATTTACAACAACCAAAAGCACACACTTCACCATACACAACCCCAAGTGTATGTGGGTGTTACACATATTTAAAAAGCAACATTAGTTTCTGGCTTAGACATGTTCTCATCATAATTATCTCTGCTATTCTATGCATCTTCTCCCCCCCCCCATTTATTTTGCCACTTTGCTCAGTATCTCTTCTCTGTTCTGTCATCCACTTCAATTATACAATTGAAATCTCTCACTATTATGAAGAGTGGTCTCTCTTCAACCATGTAAACTGCTAGTTTTTTAAACAATACATTCCTTCCTTCCCTCTCTGGTGGTGCACATACACTGGAAAT